ATATTTTGTTTTTTTTATATTAAATGTTTACTTCATTTAGTCAAAGAAATTTTATGTTATATTTGTGATTTTTGAAGTGAAAATATACACAGAGAATCAACTCTTAAAATAAGACACTTATGTTTAAGTTTCCATTATACATTCAAAAAATTCAATAAAAAATATAATTTTGATTTCACCTAATTAAAAAGAAACTTTTATCAAGTTAGAACTATTACTAAACATAACCTACAATTTTCTTGACGTAAGGTCCCTTCTCTCGTGGAGCGTCATATATATAGCTAAAAAAATTAAACTTTCAACACTTAATACCTCTATAATGTGATTATTAAATGTAAAAACTAATTTATTATTAAATTATTAAAAAAAAAAAAAATTGGGTAAAAAGAAATTCAGTGAAATAAAAATTCTATACTAAATAAAAATTCGGTACCTAAAAATTTTATTATTTTACATACTTAAAAAAATTACTTAATTCGTTTAAAAAGAAATTCTGTTTAATGTTAATTCGAAAAATGAAAATTCGTCTAATAAATAATTATAATATATGTATATTAAGTAAAATTCTATAAATTGAAAATTATAACTAATTATTATTTTTATGGAAAAATTATGTGCCCTGCATCAGAGTTAAATATAGCTATTTTTTTAACATAAAAAATGTTTGATGAAAATAAAATTTTATTTGGCGCAAATAAATATTTATTAATATAAAAATATTGTTTCTCAATTAAAATAATTTAAAAAAAAACTGTTTTTCCATATAGAGTTTCTGTTGATATAAATGAACACTTGAGAGGATCAAAATAAGCAAAATATTGTTTGTGACAGTAGAAAAATTGAGTTTAACGCTTAAATTGGTTAATGGTGGAATAATTTAAAAGGCCAGAAGTATATGTATATATATATGTATGTCGAAGGGATGATTGTCATCAGTGCGGGACATTTTCTAGTCCATAATGCCAAAGAGTAGAACTTAATCAAATGGTAAACGGGTGGAAAACAAGCAATTCGAGCCATCGAGCTGGGCAACGTTTTGGGGCTAGGTGAGGGAGTGTAAATCTGATAAAATCATCTCGAACCCCTCGGTTATATATCGACCCTTTCTGAGCAAAGCAGAGGCGTTCTCTGGTTCCTGGTAAATATATCTGATCAAGCCTATGTGGATGTAAGTAACGCAAAGTAATATAAGAGAGGGTGGTTGTTCCTACGGTTGTTATTAAATGAGACAGCCTAATAGGCCCATTATGGACCCTCTTGGTCCATTCCCACATAATATAATCCTCACCGCACGCGCACACCGACTCTCCCTTTTTTCTTTCCGCCCCCAATCTGCCATCATGTATCTCAATCTGCGTTCCACCTTAACACCTATACATTTGGATCGGATAAATGACAAAGTAGTACTCGACAATATTGATATAATATAATTTTATATATAATCAATCGAAAAAAACCACCGATATATTTGAATGTATATCTTTTTTTTTTCTTTTTGTAAGTCGCTTTCTTTTATAGAAAGATTTCGAATGGTCAAATATATATATATATATAGAGGTATTTCGAAATGCTTTCTTGGTCCAAACTTATGAAGGAATAAAGGTACTCTTTCACTATCAAAACCTTCAAAGGCAAAGTTCGAATAGGCACCCGCGAAAGCTCCGTCCGCCGACAAAACTTTTGGCCAATGGGGTACCGATGTGAGTCAGTGCTTTCAAAAGAAAATGTTATATCATTCCCTCGAGGTAAGATTCGAATTCAACAGAGATCTTGTGCTTTTCCTAGTGATTATTAGGCTACTATCATAGAATTTAGCATATAAGCTAGTTTTCTTCTGCTTATAAAATATCCAGACTGGATGGAAAATTTTTAAATTATTTCATTTTTATATATGTGAATATATCTCAGACAATATTATTGTTATTATTATTATTTAAATAAATTTTATTCCTTTAAATTCAAACAAAAGTTTAGTTAACTGTATTGTAATGCATTTATTTGGTTGATTTAACCAAATTTTTGTTGTTTCAAACAAATTTTTTTCTGCTCTCTAAATCTGAATTAGTAAAAATGTTTACTAATTTAAATCAGTGACTCACTTTTTGCTTTAGAATTATAGTTAAATTTGACTAATTGTTAGTAAAAGTTACTAATACTTAGTAAAATTTTACTAATTCTGAAGCAAAAAGTGAGTCACTAATTCAAATTAGTAAATATTTTTACTAATTCAAATTTAGAGAGTGAGTCTACTCTACTACTCTACTAAAACACTTTCTTAATTTGAAATAGTGTGAATTCGTTCACTAATTTAAATTAGCGAAAACTTCTATTAATTTTTAGTTATTTTTCACTAAAACTTTAGTAGAAAAATTTTTACTAAATCAAATAGTAATATTTTACTAAAAATTAGTAAAAATCTATATTAATTTGAATTAGTGAACGAATTCTCACACTAATTCAAATTTAGAGAATTACTGAATTGTATTATTAAAAATTACACACAGCAATTTATTTATTTTTCAATTCCATTTGACGTCAATAAAACTGACATAGAATTATCTCAAATTTTGATTGAGGTAACCTAACACTTTGTTCACAATTTTTATTATTTTATATGATTGATTTTTTGCGAAAACTGAAAAAAATAAAATAATTCTCCAGTTACATTTTGAAATGAATGTTTTGTTTTGATAAACTGTTAAAATAAAAAATTTATTGTCTAATTTATCAACAATTTGTTTGAACAAGAAAAAAGGTTTTATCTCTCGTCATTTTTGAAAATTTGTAAGTTTTCTTACAAATAAACTTTTGGTTAATTCAACCAAAAGTTTGATTAACTGTATATATATTTAGCAATACATTTATTTGGTTGATTTAAACAAATTTTTTTTTGAGTGTACCCAAAAAAGAAATTCTTAAATTAAATAAGGAAATAATAAAAATAAAATGAAATATAAGATAGAAAACAAAAAATTTATTTAAACTATTTAATGAAAAATTAATAAATTTAGAAAAGCACAATTTTTTAATGACTTTTATATATATTTAATATTCACAACGATTATTCTATTTAATATTTTGAATTTTGATAGACTTTTAAAAAATGCATCTTATGGATGAAATATATATTTTTAAAATTACGCGCTTGTATGGATACATTTGAGATGTGGTTTCTTGATATTATTAAATTTGACCTGCATCTATTGTTCCAGGAGAATATAATATGTTGAAAATGGAATTCACTTTGCTTTTAGTCTGTAATGTTCTTCTTCATTTTTCTTTATTATTATTATTATTATTTTTTTTTTTTGAACTTGTGCGATAAATTTACGTTGATCCCTATCTCAAAACACTCAGCTGTCTTCAGAAGAAAATAAGCGAACGTCTAAACAGCGGATTAACCGACTATAGCTTTAGGCGTTTACTCGAGCGCGTAATCGGTTACTGGGATAATTAGGCGAATAGACCATCTAAATTTCTTTTCCATTGTTAACGGTTACTCTCGCTCATTATTTTGTAAATTTTCAGTTTATCTCACTATTAAATTTTAAGATACTCGCGGATTAATAGAATTTGTAAGAGGATTTTTCGTGTGTTTATATTTATTTTATATATTATTTAAAATTTCATTTAACCACTTTTTTTTAATTGATATATTATTTTTATTTTTATATTTTAACGAAAATTAATAATTTAAAAGTGACAAGATTTTTTAGTCTTTATCGATGATAATGATTAATTAGAAATGAAAAACGTTGAATTTTTATGTTGATCTAAATTTTTAAATGGAGTTTATTCTCTTTGGTGGATTTATTCTTTTCATTTTGATGAAAATTGCATAAACGTCAAATCTCTACCTCTTATTCTGCTTTTTTCTGTATCAAGTAGTTAAGAGAGTAGGAATTAATATTTAAAATCGTCTTTACAATTGCTCCCCTATTTTGATATTTATTCTTTCTATAGAAACAAATGCTAATGCCTTGTTATTGGATATACCCAGGCAGAAAACATGAATCGTGGCAGGGGGCACAATTATCTCATATTTCCTCCTCATCTGAATAACATTTTCGTATTTTGTATCATGAACAAGAGAAAGCGAATTAGAATAAATTAACACTATTTAAACATGTAATGTGATCCTACAAAGAACATAAATCATATAACAACCAACCAAATAAATCAAGTTAATTTATAACTATTCAATATTTGACGTCATAAATTTCTGATCGGTTGAACATATTAATATCCCGTCACATAATATATAGTTAATTTCGCCTCGTTTATATTATATATAATTTTATACATAAATTCTGAGGGAAATTAGTAAGTGCTATTAATTTTTTTTAACAGAATATTTAATTTTTTTTTTTTTGAATATGTACATATAATGTGCTTTAAATAAAAAATACTTTAATTATATCATATACAAGTAAATAAGAAATTAATGATATTTTTCATATTTCTGCATCGAGGAAATAAAAATTGATATGATGAATTATAATTTTAAGACTCTTAAATGATGGTTTCTGACACTTTCACTGAGAAAATTATGGCGAGACTGCCGGCTTTTCATGCGAACAACCAGAGTTTTCTGCCTCAGGATCCGCTATTCGCCTAGAAAAAGCGAAAATCTACTCCTTAGGTGTCCACTAATGACTTTTAGGATTAGATTTTCGCTTTTTCTAGGCGAATAGCGGATCCTGAGTCAGAAAGCTCTGGTTGTTTGCATGAAAAGCCAGCAGTCTCACTATTATTTTCTCAGTGTTGAACAGTTTTTCGGTTTTTGTAATGATCAGAATTAATAAATACACCCTATCAAAAATTGACTACACGGCAGTTTAAGGATTATATTCGAAATTTCGGACAAATGGATCTTACATCATTGGTTGATATTAAATTGTAGTGTTTGCATAGTTTTGTAAGGCGGTACTGTTTAACATTATGTTTTAGACTTCACAATTCGAATAAAATTGCATCTTGATTAGAATAATCTTGAGTACCTGGAAAGCATTGCGAGATCCGCCGACGCTTGATGACCAATCATCGTGTTATTAGCGTCACTTGAAGAATAACTTGAAACTGGACTAGTTGTGCTGATGGCGCATCCAATTCCAACAGAGTTACTCCTTGTTTCTGTGGAATGATTTATCAGTCTTTGGCCACCAGGAAGTTTTAATGGTGACGGCGAGAGTATTTGCGAAACAGGACTCCCACATGAAATAAGTCTTTGATTATTCTGCGAATTTGGTGGATGAAGGGGTGACGATCTATCAGCGTCTGATTGACGTTCACCAGACACCGATGTTGAATCAGCCGTCGGCGATTCAGCTCTACCAAGAATATTCGAAATACTAAACGACGTATATTGCGGATTACAAACCGGCCTCAAAGTTGCTTTACTAACATCAAAACTAAATGAATTCCCCAGTCCTAAAGCACTTTTTCCATTTTTTTCCTGAAGAAGCATTTCGGCGGGTGTAGAACTACTTCTCGATTCGTCCAACTCCAAATCCTCTTCCGAGACAACGGACACTTCAATTTCTGTTTCACCCGACATGTCCTTTTAATCCCCCCCTTGTCGCAAATTCACCTTTCACTTTGCCGACGGTGTTGTCAAAATCGCGGCTTGGCTTTTCTTTTTTTTTATTCACGACTTTGTGCTATCATTGATGCGACGAAAATTCACCCAACACGTAAAAACTTTCACCCAACACAAACATCCTGGATTGCACTATGTCTGCTGCTGATTCTAAAAACATGATGATAATGATGTTTGATTATCAGCAACAAAACCACACATATCCGACGGATGAACGCGTCTCGAGAATCGTCGACGATTTAAACGATCGACCGACATTCGTAAGCGATACCTGGACGATAGGATGATAGGGGACAAGACGCTTTGCTGAAGTCACCCCCGCCCACTTCTGCAACCCCACCCTCAAAGGATACCACCACTCTTTCTCAATCAGTCTCCCCCGTGTGCTTCAACCCCTCTCGTCTCTCTTGCTTCTCTTCTTCATAAATGGCTCACAATTTCCACTTCCTTCCACTAATCACTGCCTAATTTCGCGGCCTGCCACTTTACAATTGAGGATATTTGCAATTTTTTTTTTCTCCACAATCAACTAATCGACGTTTATCCTAACAAAAATTATAATTTTCTTTGGTTATATTCTTTGGTGCGTCATTGCAAAATATCTTTTTTTTATCAGTAATTGCAGTTCTTAGCATTACAAATCGGATTTTGAAATTTTATTCATATGATGGAAAAACTTGTCGGGTTTAAAAGTGTGTTTTTTTTTTGCATCTTGAGTGTTTAATCGTGTCGTGGACGTAAAGAGGCAGGTGGGGTGGCTCGTTTACAGCGAGCGACGGACTGATGATCGGTACTCCGCTTGGCACTAAGGGTTGCAAACGCCGTAGAAAACCGCAGGTCACACGTATATGTCGGCGCGGCGTCACTGGCTCTCTTCAGGCACTCTCGTACACAAACAGTAAACATGCATACACACATGACTACCAACGCACGTGCCTCTAGTATATACAGACAGACAGACAGACTTCTCTCTCTCGCACTCAAAATAGAGTCGTCACACTCTCTCGAGAGGTGGGTTGTTGAGAGAGTGAAAAGCAGGCCAGAGAGAGGTACAAAACGTTGGGGTTGGCTCATTGGAGAGGGATGGAGAAAGGGGAGAGGCGTGGAAAGTGGTTTTGAATGAGGGGAGGGGGGTGAAAATAGGGAGCAACGATAGCGGGGTTAAAGTGAGAGAGAGGGTTGTATGTCGTGTAGTGACTAAGCTAAAAGTTGTTTGAGTTCTACGAGAGAGGGTTGCGGGGCGGAGTTTGGCTTCGGAGAGGACGGCTCACGCGATTTCTCATAGGGTGGAGCTGCGATCGATGGTCCGCGTTACGTTGGAACTGTTAGGGGTAGATTTCGGAACGGACCAATCGCGTGAGCTCAGTCCTTAACTCGCAAGATATACTCCGCTTGTTTAGACAGAAGGGGTTGTTCAGGGTTGGTTGACTAGTGGATAGAGAAAGATGTCGAGAGAAATTGATAGAGTGTGAGTGAGAGAATGCGAGAGAAAGAGAGAGAGACTGGTGTGTCCGTCCCGTGCCACGTCGTGTTACTTATCCATTATAACACTCCAAGATCTTGATTTAAGCCTGCAGCCAGCGGTGAGCTTTTAACCAATTAGCCTTTATAGCTAACCCCCCTTCTCCCTTTCCGCTCTATCCCTCTTTTTCTCTCTCACTCGTTCTCTTCGTCGTTGCAACTCACCCTCTGGCTATCCTGCTCTCGCTTTACTGTACACCTCGTAGGTACTCTATATATATATATACTATACCCCCAGTTGCGCGATATACCCAACTAATCTACCGGTTTTCTCCTTCTCTTTTCATTCCAATTGCTATCTCACTCGAGGTGTATTTGCTAGAAATAAAGACCTGTATGGATCTTGTCTTTAGTGGACTTGGAGTGTTTCTCATAGTAATGCGCCAGGAGTTTCAAATTATCTCGACGTTTTCATATAATGAGGATTAGAAGAGATCCTTAAACAGATCGAAGATATTTCTGTTGGAGAAAACTTATTTAGTATTTCTTTAGCAATGTTTTTATATTTTTATTGATGTTTTTTGGTATTTAATTATATCCTAGGCTATCTTTATTGAAATATGCTTGTTATACAATGCACTTATTATATGTGACCTGATCTGAGAAAACGGTGCTATCGACCAAAATCAACTTTTCGAGAAAACGCGTTCAAATTTTACTACCAATTAAAATAGACTTCTTGAAACATTTTATATTTCAAAGGACTTAGATAAGTGTTCCTTATGTATTTTTTATGAACACGATTTTTATGGTTAAATAATTTTTTGAACATCAGTGTTATTGTTATAAAAAATTTGTTTTGCAAAATATGAAATTTATTAATTTAAACGACTTGCTCATGTCCTAGAGGTCTGAAAATTTTTATGCATCTTCAGAAATGACAACCGCACAATAATCTATGATTATTTTTTACCTACAGATCTAAGTTGACAATGATGGGTATAATAAGGATCATATCCGAGAATTTAGCCTGAATTTTTTTGTTAAAAAATTAATTAATTATTTATATTTTTATTATAAAATATAATTAATATAATAAAAAATGAGACAGGCAGATGGCGCCACGTTCTATGTCATATTTAACATGAATTCATTTTGAGATGCAACAAATATGAGTTTGATTGATTACACAGAAAAAAGTTAACTTTTTTCTGTGTAATCATATTTAAATTTTGTAGAATATATAATTCTGATTTTAACGTTTCTTATATCGAGCAATTATAGATTTGCTAATGTTTGGATTTTAATAAACTCATTATTTTCAACATCGTAGAAATATGGTTTTCTGATTTTTAATTTTTATGTTCTTCGATACAATTTAAGCAAATATGCAATTTATATATAGTAGTGGATTATTATGCCGTCAAAACGCATCTATGGGAGATTTACTTTGCATTGTTAAAAGTTAATACAGGCAGTTTTGAAATAAACTTCACCTCAAACTAATTCATCATATATATTATAATGCACGCTGAACTGAAACATTTTTTTTGCAAAAATTACAATGTTGATATAACAATTAATATATTTAATTAATTAATACGATAACAATGTTAATACAGGGATTATACAAATTACGTCTGGATTTAAATTTCAGTAAATTTATCCAAAATTATAACAATGAGAAATTTATTATTTTTGAAACAATTTAACATAAATTACAACACGCAAATTGATTATTTCTATACGTTTAATTTATTAATATTAATTAATTATTAATAACTGTATAGGTACAAAGTAACTTTTGCTTTTAATTATAACAATTTATGATTGACTGATTCAAAATTGAAATATAGCTTATAGGTCATTAATTTCGAAAATTTGAATAATTGATTCATATAATGTTCTAATATTATTTGATATATTCTTCAAATCTAGGTCAATAAAAAATTTAACTAATTTGAGTTATATATGAGAAAAATGTGCTATTAAATCAAAAGCATTTCCTCCAAAGGCATAAAAGTTATTGATATAAAAGCAATAGAATTTATAAAATATGATATAAATTTCATGACATATGCTTTTGGAACAATATTTTTTACACAAAAATGCTGTTCATTCGCAATAGTATATCTCAGTGTAAATGTATTTGCTATAAAGTTAAATTTCTCTAAAATATACTTGTCTTACACTTTACATTTATCTAATCAGAAATTTTTTTTTTAAAGAAATAGTCGAAGAAAAAAAAATGCAAAATAGTGTTGAAAATTTTTTCAATTAGGTGTAAGGTGTCCGTAATATAATACTGATAATAGTGTTGTCTTTCCTTCGAGCTGCAGAAGTCGTACACGTGCCCCTTTCAAAACCTCAGTAGCCAGACAATTTGCACAAGCTTCGTTTTCTTTAGGATTATCCTCCACATCGGTTCGTTACCGAGGAAAGTGAACAATTGATTTTTTAACCGTAGATTATATTCCTTTATAGGTTTCTTGAACGTAATATTTCGTGATACTATAATTCTTTTTTCCCTTCTATATAAATAAATGTATTAAAGAGATTAAAATCATTTTGTTTTCGTGATAATAAGCAGTCAAGAATTTCACTTAAGATTAGATATGTTTGTATTTAATTAAATTAAAATTGTGTTGGCCTAAATGGGACATTAAAATAAAACGTTGCAAATATCGGATATATCATTGGCAGGGGGGAAGAGGGAAACAATAAGGTATTATTGTATATATACCTAAATAGAGATAAAGGTAGATTTGGTGCTCTGTGTATATGAATATAAGATGAAGTGCGGGTGCGCAAGGATTAAGAGGACAAAATGCTAAGTAGATAAAGTTTGAGGCAAAATAAAAGCGGAAATGAAATGCGAGTAAAGTATGTATATAGAGGGATGTGAAAGATAATTCAAGTAAGATATATATAGAAGGCGTATACATAATAGATATAGACCAAATGACCTAAGTAAAGTGATATTCTCTAATTTTTGTTACGCTCAAATAAAAGTTGATTTTAGTATATATAATTTTTAAATGGTTTTATTATATTTTTTCCTTATTTTGTTGTACTTTTATTTTTCGAATAATTTATAGTTGGAAAAAAGGAATAAAAAAAACTTTTTTTTTTTTGTTTGAAACTGCCTACTTTTTGGAAGAGAGTTTTTTTATTATTTTTCGCACAGTTTAGTGTTAAAAGATCAAACAATCAAAGAAAAGGAACATTTTGAGAGGGTCCTCGTGCGCGTCTGTTTATATTCTCGAAAGATATATGCATCTCTCGTGTGTTTGAAAGAGTAATTTATTCCAAAGTATTAAACAACATTGTCAATGTGTCAAACAAACGTTTATTGTTGAAAGCTTTTCTCTCTTGTGTGCTTCTATAAGCGTCGTGCACTTTAGCTGTATTTCTGCGACTCATTTCCCTTGACATATAGGTTTGTGCTGTGCTATTAAAGACTAAATAGTATAGTAATATGCCGCGCGTTTGATGATGAGAATGACGAGTGACAGAGGAGGGGGTTTGTAAAGGGGTTTGTCCAAAAGTGCGAAAGAGACAAACACTATTTTCCTTGATCGTGTGTGAGAGAATTTTTACACGACGGGACGTAAACATGCGACAAAAAGCCCGACAAACTTAGAGAGAAAGGTACATGTTTAGTGTGTTACTATAGTTCTCTGAAAAGGTAACGAGAAACCAGCATCCAACCCTCGGGACCGTCGGTATAAACCTTGTTCGGTGATTATAACGAGGTTATACTGAGGCGAACGAGCACTCGAGAGTGGTTGCGGAATAGAGTACCACTCGAATAGTCGAACGATCGCCAAAGTTTTCAGATCAGCAGATTTGGCTCAATTTGGCAC